CGGTTAAAATCTTTTTGCAGCGGTAACTCTTTATATTTGCTCCCATGTACTATGGTAAAAGTATTTTTTAAGAGATAAGTCTTTTTGCTTGGGTAAATGCAAAAGAGCCTTGGGCAAATGCTAAGGATTACCACTGCAAAAGGGTTTTTTACCGTTGCATATTTTATCTTCGCCATGCATTTGCCCCGTGTCCTACGGTAAACACGACTTGTTTCTGCCCCGTTTATGAGTATTTAAACTTTGTGCACGTAGGCCCATGACACCGTAAATCTTACAATGCTAAAGATTCTATGTAAAACGAAAAATGATTGATCAATAATCAAACTTTTGAAATTAAAATTGGCAGGTCAATTTAATGTCTGAATAATTGATTTCGATTTCATATTTCACCTAATAAAAATATTTATTGTAACAGACTTGTAAAAGAACTATATACAGCATAAGCCTACTTAATTGTTTTAAAAAATATAGCAATTTTTTTAGGAGATTAACTATAACTTTTTAAAGAACTGATGGCTGATAATTTTTAAGATCTAATCACACATGAGATCTCCCTTAAATCAAAATCTATACACCCAATTACTTTACTCGAACGTGTGCTGCATTCGGATGACCACTAATAATAAATCCGTTTTGAAGAAGATCCGTCTCGAACGGCGTCAAGAACGTTCGGTCAAAACAAAATTCGTCTCAATTTTCGAAACTTTTTTTTTATTAATGTCACTGGCTCTTAAAGGCCAAAACAAACAACTAAATAAAAGAGTGAGGAAAAAAAAGTCTGAATTACGACTTGTCTCCAAAGTTTTACATCTCGGACAGCATGGACATAGTGCTCATGAGTTACAACCTTCTTTTTCAATTAAAAAGATAAATGAATGGACAATAAAAATGGCAACAACAAGTACTCGACATTAATCTGCGTATGAATGGAAATTTCGCTTAGAACAAGTTATTATTACTGACAAGAGAAGGAGGGTATCACTTTTTCTTCTTCTTTTTTTTGTGGGACAAATGAGAATGGAACAGGCCGAAAGGTTGAGTTTAATTAATGTCGTTCGGTTTTTTGGGATATCGCATGAAAAGAAAGATGTTTCTTGGAAGCTTTTAAGTTGAGGAGGGAATTTATGGTTAGCTAAACGAGCTTGCGCCATCAGTTTTGCTGAACGTTTACAAGGAGTAGCCTGTTCTGACATTCATTATATTTGGACATAAAAGGTGATTTTTAACTGTATTTTTGTCAGATCATAAAAAAGCGCCTAAAATAGTTGCATGAAGTAATTGTTTAGGTACGTCACGTAGCTCTGAGCGAATAAAAAGGATTTATTTGAGTTTTATATTTACATTTTATACCCGTTAATGATAATTGGAAATTCAGTTATTTTTAGATGGCATTTCCATTTCTTACTTTGCTTTAAAACTGATCTAAAATTATTATTCATTATTATTATTACTTTATCATTTGTTTATTTATTAATTTATAATTTTTGTCACCCGTAGAAGTTTTAAGAGCATAAAATACTTGGTAGATTCCAATGAGCTGTTAGTCATATAGTGCCTCCACGATTTCCTTTTTTTTTCATTTTATTTGAAAAAGTCTTTTTTTTCTTTTAATTGACATGGCAACGCTGCTTTACTGTAGACTACATTTTTTAAAATCGTGCCTCATCTTGCCCAAAATTGCTTATAAACAAATCTGTTCTTGAGAAATCATCATTAAAAAGTTGATTAGTGTCATACGTGGAGGATAAATTTTTATTTAAATTACAATCGAATTTTGTGACTTGATATTATTTTTACTACTCCGTTTTTATTAACTCAAAAAGGTGTGCGTGAGGGTGGAAAATTACAATCAAAATTTCAACCAATTTTAGACTGGCTAGAGCACTCGAATCTCTCCTGCCGTTCCGCACTTGATAACAACAAATGTTTCAATCATTTCCTGGCCTATGTGAAAAGAATTTATCTTAATTTTGTCACCGAATAGTCAATCAAAATTTCGACCATAGTCCAACAGGACTGAGTTTTTAAAACTGAACTGTAATTTTGTGCTGGATTGTAATACAAATTACAATCGTTCTCTAAGTGCTGTAGGCAGAATTAAAATCGATCGCTATTTTATCGTCAAAAAGAACTTATCATCAATCAAAATTTCGACTACCTATACCATATAGCCCTAGTGCATGTTTTCAAGAGGAGCTCTGTGCCTGAAGCTTATGCGAATTGCAGTTGTTCCCTAAAAGCTATAATTTTTCACCAATCAAATTTTAATTGGCTTGCTGATTTAAACCAATAAACGGAGGGAAAAAAACTGAAAATAACTAAACAATAAGGTAAAATTAATTTCAAAAATTACGTTTTTGAAGCTGACTAAAAGTAAGAATATTTTATTTTTGGCACACCTAAAAAAATGAAATTGACATCACTTTACTTTTGTAATAAAATTCTAACCTCGGGATTATCATAAAGACCTCGGGACTATCAGAAGTTATGCAGCCTGTGTTTTTCGTTTCAGGACAGAAAAAATAAATTACTTAATTGTTTGCTTATTTATGAAAGATTTGCGAAAAATGCACCGATACGATGGGAAATTTATTTACTTAAAAATAATGATTATTGAAATATTAAGGAAAAAAAAGCCTCTTTTGCACTATTTTATTGGCAAATAAATTTTATAATTTAATATATGTAAATACATATTCCTCATGAGAAATATAAGAGTTATACTGATTTTTTTTGTTGTAATTGTTATGTGTATTTTATTATTTATGTATTTTAATATTATATTAAGAGTTCCGCCTCCATGTCGCTCACTGATTGGTCGCTCTACTTGCACAATGCATACGTTTCTTCCATTTAGCTTTGTATACTTTTTGAAGAATAAATTGTTGATAAAATATTCCTCTGTAAATAGTTCTTTAACATCACACAAAATAAAATGTAACTTAAACTTAAAATATGGAATAATGAAACACAGCGTTTAACTGATTTGCTTTATATAAACCCTTGAAACGCCTTAGCCAAAGCTTGAAAAATTAATTAAATTTATTTTATTACAACGTACGTAAAGCGTTTTACATAACATAGATATTTAATTTATTACATATTTTTGCAATTGTATTATGTATTTTCTTTATGAAAAAAATATTAAAAAAAGGTTTTTAGTTAAAGAATGTGCTTATAGATTACAAAATCCTTAGAACTATAATTTATGCTTACTGATTACAAAAAGTATCATGTTCTGACATCCATTATGTTTGGACATGAAAGGTGGTTTTCGAACTGCATTCCTGTCAGATCATAAAAATGCGCTTTAAATAGATGCATGCATTGAGTAGTTGTGAGCATCCAATAGATAAAAATTTTTACGACCGAACGTAACGACCAGTTTAAGATAATAAATCCCAATTAGAAACTTATGAATTTTGAAAAGATAAATTACTTATTTCACTTGATTTTCATTTACTTATTTTTCGAAAAACAACTACAATTAAGTTTTACGGCAATCTTCATACTCGAAATAATGTACATTTCCTATTACTAAAATGTATTATAATATTTATGAAGTCATATTTGCTGAAAATTATGTATTCTAGGGTGTATGTACTAAAGCCTAGCTTAAAACGATAGCAATTGAAAAATTTTTTTAAAATTATTTTTTTTTCTAAATGCATTGTTTTTATTCAAATCACTTGTAATTTCTACAATCGAATTGGGAAATTGAAAAATAAAAATTTCAACTATTAAATAGGTTTTGGTATTTATTAATCATTCCGGTTCTTGGTTCGTTAGAATTCAGAAATTTTGTCTAAAGGTGTTATTGAACTTTTGAACATGAACTTTTACCTTCAAGAATTTTTTTTTTCTGTCGAAAAAAAATTTTATGCCTCCTTTTTTCTAAGCAGTTTGAGACCAAGAGTTTGTCAATACTCAAAAAACTTCCGGAATTATCTTCAAAAAACAGTTATCGGAGTTATACTATATTAATTTTCAAATTTTATTTTCAATTTTTTGTCCTTAATTTGATTTTTCACAAAAGTGAAAGTTTGAGCCTGCATGCACGACGTCTGAAAGACTATATGATATTACAAAAATTATTACTTAAAAATTATTTATGAATATTTAGACATTACTTGTGCTAAATAGATTTTATAATTGCTTCAACTACATTGAACATTTTTAACATTGAACATTGTTGTTGATAATTTTTAAATTAAAATTTTTTAAAATTGGATAAATTTTTAATTTTTTTAATATAAAATGATGTATACGATACGTATGATGTGTAGATACAATTTTTATCTATTATTTAAGAAATGTTTTGCTGAATTTGTAAATAAACTTAGTTCATTTTAGAGCGCACAGCAAATTGTAAGTTTTTTTCAAATTTCAAAAATTTATCTCATATATTAATGTAAGCTATAAAAAATGTATTTTATTTTAAAGAGGTTAGATTATTGTTTAAAATGTCTACTTTGGTTAGTTTAAAAATCAGAATTCTACTTAATTTCTTGTAAGTCTTAGTTATTTTAAATGCTTCGCACTTTTGTATGATTTTAATACGACAAAGAGTCATGAGACCCTCTAAATGGTGATTTGCGACCTCTAATTCTTGTAATTTTTATTCAATGTTGGACAAGGATTCCAGAAATATTGCTAAGGGTGGTCAAAACGAAACGCATCGTATTTTAAAGATACAAAACATTTTCACAAACCAATTTCTGTAGTTTCTATTAGTTAATAAACATTCAGCTTTAGATAAACTTAGGATGACTAAAAAATGTATGATGAATATTCACATACGCTTCAATTCTAACTCTTTATAATTGCAAAAGTTCTGATTGGTTTTAAGCGAGACTGCGATTTTTTCACGAGAACGTAATAGTGGTAATCAAATTTCTACTGCGTGATCATACTGATTTAAATGTGATTCCCAGGTAAATGATTTTCATCAATTAATAAAGAAACTGATTTGTATACTACTTAAGAAATTTTGTACTCACATGTTCTGCAAGGCGAGTATTCTTGAAAGTTGGCCATGGAATTTCTAGCAATCCAGCAAGTACCCACAGGTTCCCGCCTAATATTGTTAACTGAGTAATAGACATAGCGAGGAGCACAAGCCTAGAATAGAAAAAAAAGTTTTAAAAAAACATTTGTTTATTATAAACATAAGTGTTGTAAGTCAGGATTTTGTGGAACCAAAACTTTAAAATGATGACAAGTACTGGTTTGGTATAAATAATGTAATGGCAAATAGGTAATGGTAAATTTTCTTTAACCCACTTAGAACACGGAAGAAAAAATTCTAGTAGAATTGCAATACTTGTATGGTAATGATATTTCTGGCTATAAACCATAATTCTGGTAATAAAACAAAATTAAACGGCATTTATACTATTTATTTGGCAATTTTGCATCTGTGTGATAATGATTTACCGGAATTCATGGTTTTCAAAACTCTAGTTCTTATTGCAATATATTTAATAAGAATCCAAAAACTGAAAAGTAAATTAAAACGAATGAATGGTTATTATCTCACGCTTTAAAATATTATGATAAAATTGACAAAATTTTAGTACATTTACAACCGAACACAACAGTAATAAAATCATATTTATTTGTTAATTTTACCGAAAGTCATTACAAACAGGTGTGATGTATGATGTGGCAGAAGTCGAATTCTTGGCCATAGATGGCACCACTGAAAAGAGGAAGCGCACCCTCTGCCTTAAATCTGTTCATTTTTACCACGCAGGCTTGCTAGTATGGCAAATGGCATTAGAACCAACCAATCAACCAAAAGTCCTTACCAATGCTTCGGTAAAAATGACCGTATTTTTTAGTGTTCTTATAAAGTCGGAAACACGGTACCATATTCTGGTAGTTTTGACCATACATATATATTTTTTTCCATGCAGGTAAACCTAGATTAAGAAATGAAGTTTCAAACGTAGAATTTTTTCTCCAAATTTCAAATAAATTACAGCAGGATTATAAGAATAAGCAGTTAGGATGTAATATTGTAATAATTTGTTTGTATTTTAATGTTTCAAAAAAGAATTCTTGAGCATTAAAACTAAATTATTCTTTTGCTTTGAGAGTACGGCACAAATCATGACATTATTTTTCAATTCTTTGTAAGTTAATATTAAGAAATATTCTTTAAAAAAAAATTATGATTGAAAAAAATACCCCACCAAAAGAGATATTTAAAAATACCCATTCCCTCTCAAAAGAAAGGTAAGAATTCCCAATTTCGCCCGAAAAAATCTATTAATTATAAATGTTTCTTTTATTTGTTATTTTCTTGAAATTCTGAATTGGAGATATAATAAATTTGGTTGGAAAAATAACCCCTACTAAAATCATTTTCTAAAAAGTATCCTCCATTAAAAAATAAAAATCACCACCAGAAATTTTTTTTGTCCAATTTTACTACTGGTAAATAAATGCATGCAATAAATAAATGTAGATATAATAAGTTTGACTGGAAAAGTATCTTCGACTAAAAAAGATTTAAAAAACTATCGGATTCCCAACATTAAAAGACATTCCCTCAAATGATTTAAAATATTTTTGAGCGTATTTTTCACTTATTAAACTACAAAAATATTTCAGATATTAAAAATGAATCCTCTTAAAAAAAATCGCTATGGTGAATTGTGTCACTTAGTATTTCCCGTTGTCAACCTTTGCATGGACCCACTTTTGGCTTTTATGTGCTGATATTCCTCATATCTATAACAAAAACATCCTTTTTAAAAACTTCCTATTTAATAAACTTCCTATTTTCCTAAAATTTTTAAACACTACTACCAAATAGATCTAAAGCTAGTGACTCGAATTTTTTTATAGGTTCATGTCGTCTCAATACAGAAAATTGTCAGGAAGTCACTGGTTCATAGATTTTTCTGAAGTACAATAAGAAGAATGTGACATTCCTTTTGAGACATTCCATCCGACTTGGAGAAATATCTCATAAGGGAGCATGTCGATAGGGAGCTTCTCATTCTGGACACAACTCGAAAATCGTGTTTAAGAAAATAGACACAGATCGAAATGCGTGTTTAAGAAAATGGCTGAAGCTCAAAATTCTTGTTAAAGATGACGAACACTGCTCAAATTGAGCACGTAAGAAAATGTTAATGACTTAAAATGCGTTTTTAGGAAAGGAAACGTGCTTAGAACTTAGCTGTTTAAGAAAATGAACATAGCATTTGATTAAGTTTTTCTCACTTTTGTGAGTAGTTCCTAGCATATTCATTGTTTCCTAAATTTTAGTATATTTAGTAGCATAAGGAAATGAATCATGCTTTCACCCTAAAGGGTTACTTGAAACCAATATTAATTATTTTTTCAATTATTAAAAAAGTATTGTAATAACTACCATTAACTGTAAGAATAGGTATTAAAAATTAAGAAAAAATTGGTTATCAGGATCAGCGTGTTTTATGTTAACGTTTGCTATGATATTTTTTAATAAAGAACGAGAGAAAATATTGTTGCTATTTTTTGACTGAAAATTTTTGTAAATAATAAACTTTCTTTTTTTGGTCTTATAAAAAATTTAATTAGTTTTATTTAATTGTTCTAAAATTTTACGTTTTTATTTAATTAATGTTTTGTAGAGATATTAATTAATAAAAAAATTACAATTCTCAATAACGCAACAAATTTTTAAAAAAATAAAATAAAATTCAATTTTCTTCAATTCTTTTCAGTTAGTTCTATTCTTCACTGTCAGAAAAGTTATTTGATGAAGTTATCTGATTATTTACTTATATTACTTACTAGCCGCCTAAGGCAGCCAGCTGTCCGCCACGCTGAAGGTTTTCACAAATAAAGTTTTTTAAAACATAGCAGGAAATCTGAAGATTAGTGGACAATTAAAGTGTTCCTGTCCTGCAATTTTGTCTTCATATCCAGTTCTGCTGCAGATGTGTTATAGCTCTTGAGGATGTTTGAAATTATATAGCTACAACGCTTAAGAAAAAAAAAACTAAAATGCTAAATACATGAAAAGAACACGAAAACGAATAAATTTTTTATGGTATCAATTTCTATTTCTATATAATTTTTTATGGTATCAAATTCTATTTCTATATCTGTTACGTCAAGCACTCAGGTATTATAATTTGATCTAGTTGTGCTTGTATAATTTTGATCTAGTTGCGCTTTCTACGTCATTTTGTTAACATCGTTTGGTTTGTTATTTAACATCGTTTGGTTTGTTATTTCTAAGTTAACTTTCAAAAAATTGGCTGGCATCAGCATTTTTATTCTTTAAGTTGTTTATTTTTTCTTTTGGAATTCGTTCCTTTTTAGCGAAATGTTTTTCAACCTAATCGAATTCTTTGCCGACTGTTCTCTGTATATATAAAGAAAATAAAGTAAATATTTTTAAAGTGTTGTGAAAAGAATTTTTAGTTGTACAAAGTACTACAATATCGCTATAAAAATTATCGTCTTCGCTTAAGAAAAAAAAAAAAGAGCGTGGAAAGAAGAAGAAAAACTTATTATAACAATTATGAACAGCGACAAATATATCAAAGCGAAGCGTTCTATTTACGTATCGAATATGTTGCCACATTTTTAATACAAAAGTTAAACTTTTCTCCACTTTAATAAATGTAAACTAATGCGAACTTTACAATTAAATTATTAATTCCTTCGTATATTATTGGTTTAAGTTGTCGAAAATTAATATTTCAATTGTAAGGTTCGCATTAGCATACATTTATAAGAGTGGGGAAAAGTATATGCATTTTTTAATAGTTTTTTGAATATGGCTCTTTGAAGACGAAAAAGCAGACGAAAAGCATAGACTTACAAAATGACTGATAACTAAATAACTAATCCAAATTTTTGAAAAAGAAAAAAAATACTTCTTCATTATGTCAAAACACAATTATGTGCCGAGTTTCGTGCCTGGGCGAGGCTTCTGGGGCGATATATTGTGATTACAGACACACACACACACACACAGCCGCTTTTATTATTATGTATAGATGTATAGATGTATAGATTATAACTTTAAAAGGAAATACATCCACATCTAGAAATCTAGAAAGAAAAGTGGGTTGAAGTATCTATTAATCCTTAATAAGTAAGGCAGAAATAAAAATTTTCCTACAAATAAAGCCTCACAACAGTGTTTCTAAAATAAAATAGTGTTTATATTTGAAATAATTTTACTTTATTTTTGAAATAAAAAATAAATTTATAAAAAAAAAAATTAAGTTCTTAACCTTCTTAGCGTGCCAACTTCAGAATTTTTTTTGGCCAACAACACAGCATTGTTGTGTGCCACTGATGAGAAAAAAATTCTCGATGACAGAGTCAAGAGTTAACAAAACACAGAATAAATGAATTCATCACAATCACTCCCTGGTCCATTCATCAATTTTTTACGCACAAGACACAAGAGCGAACACTTCTCTCCCTAGGAAAAAAAAAAATGTTCGCTCATCTGTTAAAGCACACCTAGAAGGCGTGGGAGGAGGCAGAGCACATCATTTCCACTTTATTGTTGCTTTTTTTATATGCTTGTTTCGTTTTGGACAGGCTTCCTAGCTTATCTTGGAAATGAAACTAGTGAACGAAATGAAAAGAAAAAAAAAATGGCGAATAACAAATGACAGGCTTTACAGTTAGAATAAGAATGGATTAGCTCAGACTCTAAATGGAATTGGGGTGGATACGATAAAGTCGATTCTTGTTATTATTTTTTTCGAGAAAAAAAAGCTTATTGCCACTTCAAAGTTAAGGGCGTGATGCATTCAGCTAGAGAAAAATTCCAGGAAACTATTCGCGAAAATCCTTCTAGCTCACTGTAAAAAAAGTAAGAAAAAAAAATGGTAAACTGGTTATTTGAAAATCAAATTTAAATTTATGTAAATTTATATAGAATTTAAATTTCTAAATAATAAAGCACGAAATTTTTTGAGTTACTACATAAAGTCGTTTTGAGATACACGTGATATGCAATGCGTTTGAACATTAGAGTGTAAAATATGAATTTAGAAAATTTTTGGTCATTCTTTATAAAAATTAACCACGCAAGTTATCATTGGAATATTAACGGATAAAAAGGTTTTATTACTACCAAATGGTAGTGTTAA